GCATGTGCTCCCCACAGTTGGCTGTCGGAAGCATGCCAACGTCAAGGACTTCAACCTCGCCGCATCAATCTTGAACAAGGCTATGATCTCTACAGGAAAGAGACTTGGGAGCGAATGAAAGTCCTTCGATCCAAGAAGAAACCACGGAAGCTTTGGTTCAGCCTTCCTTGCACCAAGTTCTGCCGCTGGACCTACCTCAACTATGCTTCACGACCTGAAGAACTTCGGCAAGCTCGCAAGAAGGAAAGAAAGATGCTTTGGTATATGAACGACTTTGTGAAGGACACCCTTTCCAAAGCTCCCGACACCAAGATCTACTTCGAGTGGACTCATCCATGTCAAGGGTGGCAAGAACCTCCAATGATCGACCTCGAGACCTTCCTAGCAGCCTTGGACATCCCCTGGCTCTCATGCCGCATCGACGGCTGCGTCTATGGCATGATGGACTCTCGAGGTGAACATCATCTTCACAAGAAGTGGCTTGTCAAGACCACCTGTGAACACTTCCATGCCACCTACAAGACCAAGGTATGCCATGGAGGCCACTCACACACCTTGGTTCAAGGCGCCGAAACCGCCAAGAGCGCCTACTATCCCTGGAAGCTTGTTCAGTCCTGGGCACGATTTTGGAGAGCTGAGATGGTGTCTGATCGCAATCTTCGGCTCCTCTTCATGAAGCAGGATTCACCCGCTGCTTTGGAGGATGAAGAGCTCCACCTCCTTGCCGACGATGACGGTGACACCCTCAACGCTCTTCCTGCTGAAGAAGCCCTACAACCAGTGGAAGTTCCTTCTGAACAAGAGAAGAAACAATGGATGGCAAGAGTAGCTCATTTCCACAAGGCAGCTGGTCATCCCACCAACAAGAACTTGGCCAAGCTGATCAAGAACGCCGGTCAACCAGCCTGGAAGTCTGAGCTGGCTTTGGAGCACAGATGTCCGGCCTGTGAGGCCATTCGACCTGGCAGCACTTCCAGCAAGAACATTCCACCGGCGAGCACTCACTCTATGTGGAGTGCATGGCAAGCTGTCGGCATGGACACCGCAGAGTGGCAGATTCCAGCCACTAAGGACAAGGTGAAGTTCGTCCTCATGATGGATCTAGCTACGAAGCTTCGTGTGGTCTGGCCCATCATGGAGTACCCCAACATGGAGATGCGAGCTGAAACTGCTGACCACATCATTGAAGCCTTCACTGAACGCTGGCTCTCCGTCTTCCCAAAGCCTGAGATGGTGATAGTTGACAATGGTAAAAGCTTCACCTCCGACCGCTTCAACACCTTCCTGCGGGAGTCCAACATTGCCGTGCACTACCCTCCTGAGAAGGAACCTTGGGCACATGGCATTTTAGAAGCTGGCATCCAGGACATCAAGCAAGTGGCAACCGTCCTCCAGATGGAGCAACTGGATCTTCGGCCGGCTCATACATTGATTCTGGCCACTTCAGCTCTGAACCAAACTGAGTACACTGCTGGGTATTCTGCTCAGCAATGGGCCTTCGGGAAGCACTACTCCCTGACCGATGAGGACCACCGCACGTACGAGCAGGTGGAACCTTCAACTGACTTTGCCCGTCTCGTTCAAGCCCGACAACAGGCTGAAGAGATTGCAGTGAAGACCAGATCAAAGAGAGTTCTGAGCAAGCTCTCCCACACTCTGGTTCGGCAGCCCTTGAGAACCTTCTCGCCTATGCAGCTGGTAAAGATCTGGCGCCAATTCCAACCAGCTGATCAACACAAGGGCAGCCGTGGCGGCTTCAAGAAGTCTGGACGACCTCATTGGGTTGGCCCTGGCAGAGTTGTCTTCCAAGAGGTACTACCTCATCAAGAAGAAGGTGATCCTCGCCGACACATCCTGTGGGTGCTCATCGGGAGTCGCATCTACAGATGCTCAGTTCACAGCGTTCGGCCAGTGACCGAGGTTGAGCGCCTCCAGTACGAGATGACAGCCGATGAGGATCCCACCAAGTGGAAATCCTTGGCAGACATCCTGCCCAAGCGAGAGTTCACTGACCTCCTGGATGAACTCCCAAAGGAGGACGAGATTGAAGTCCCGAACCTTCCGTTCTCTCCGGATCCTGCAACCTATGCTCCAATACGACGAGCCACTGGCAAGTCCACGTTGCAGATGTCCGACTACAAGCTGAAACATCGCAGCAGTCCATTGGGACTACAACCTCCAGATCGTGAAGTACAACACTTTGTACCTCCTGCTCACGCTTCGAGCTCGGCACGGCCTTCCAACTCGGCCCTACCAGAGGCTGAGGAAACTGCCAATGACTACGAAGACTACACACCGAGTCTTCCTGATGCCGCTGCTGATGAACCTCCTGAAGATGAACCACAACCTTCAGAGAGAGATCCCAAAAGAGCTCGCAGTGAGTACGATCTGAAGTGGGTGGAGGAGCTGAAATCTCACTCCGAGATTGACAACAAGGAAGTCTTCAGCTACCTCACCGAATGTCAAGATGACTTGGACGTCTTGGTCATGTACATCGATGTGGAGCCTGAGACTAACACCAAGAGAAAGGCTCTTCTTCGGAACCCCGTCCTCTACATGGCCAAGAAGTTGAACAACTCAGAAGTGTCCCTGCAGCGCTTGAGCAACCTCGAGAAGGTCCTCTTCCAGCGTGCCAAGATGAAGGAGGTCAACTCCTTTCTCAAGAACAGCGCAGTCCGCAAATGTCTGGATGATGCGGAGATCCGCGAGGCCTATGGCAGTGGCAGAATCTTGAAGGCCAGATGGGTCCTCACTTGGAAGCCCATACCACCTGATGAACGTGATGAAGCACTACAAGATAGCCACAACAACCCTGACACGGTGGTGAATCCTCAAGCCACCAAGAAAGCTAAGGCCCGCATCGTACTCGTTGGCTTCCAGCATCCAAGCTTGATGGACAGGAACTTCAAAACAGCTGCACCTGTCCAAAGTGGACTTGGACGGTCGCTGCTCTACTTCCTCTCCGTGGTCAACCAATGGGAGATCTGTGGTCTTGATCTTGCCACCGCCTTCCTGCAAACACAACCGACCGAGGCCGATCAACGTCTCTGGACATCAGGAGTTGCTGAGCTTAAGGAGGCTATGGGACTACCTCATGACGCTCTCCTTCGCATCCTGCGCAATATATATGGTTCAACAACAGCTCCCAGAGGGCTATGGCTCGACCTGCATAAGACTCTTGTGGGCCTTGGCGCAGTTCCTGCTGTTGGCGAGCGGTGCCTCTGGCTCTGGTTCAGCAAGCATGACGTTGACCCGGTGACCTCTACTCCCGCTCTGCTCGGTGCGATGGGAGGGCACGTGGACGACTTTCACAGAGTTGGCAACAGCGCGTCACCTGAGTGGGTTGAGATCTGCCAGAAGATCGACAAGGCCTACCAGTGGGGAACGATCAAACGACGGTCGTACCGCCATGCTGGCACTGACATCAACACCATCGACCAGGCTGACGGCACCTTCCGCATTGAGATTGATCAGGACGCCTACATTGAGGGCATACCTGACCTGGAAGTCTCTGCGCAGCACCTTCGAACTCCTGATCAGGCACTCACGCCCCAGGAGATTGCCTCTTGCCGAACGGCACTTGGATCCTTGCAGTGGTTGGCCATCCAGACGCAACCGCAACTATGCTCTCGGTGCAACCTTCTCCTGACGGAGATCCTGGTTGAGGGCACCACCACACATGCAAGAGAGATCCAGAACATGATCAGCGAGGTCCGTGTCCAACCTCAATGGCTTCGCTTCTTTCGACCTCCCAAGGTGAAGCATTGCACCGACGTCATCGTCATCACCATGGGAGACCAGGCCCACAGCAACAGGCCAAAGGGCGACAGCACGGGAGGAATGATCTCCCTCCTGGCCGGTCCTGACACCTTGTCAGGCGATGTGACGCCGATGGTCCTCCTGACGTGGAAGACATGGAAATTGAAGAGAAAGGCCATCGCCTCCAACGATGCCGAAGTGCAGGCAGTCCTGGAGTCAGAGGACAACAACTTCCGAGCACGCCTGCTGTGGTCTGAGATCAACGGAGCCGGACTCCACCATCGAGACCTTCGAAGAGATCTGGTGGCATCCTCCGAGCTCCAGGCCATGAAGGTGAAGGGAGTCGTCTGCACCGACAGCCGTGGTGGCTACGACGCTGTCGAGACCAACGAGAGCCCGCTCTTAGGGCTCACGAACATGAGGGCAGCGCTTCAGGCCTTCCAACTTCGCGAGAACTTGCGAAGATGTGGCAGCGAGTTGAGGTGGCTCGCTTCGGACTACGACTTGGCCGACTCCATGACGAAGAAGAGGGCCGATAGTCGTGAAGGCCTTCTCAAATTCCTGGCCACATGGCACTGGACGGTCGCTTACGATCCCAACTTCGTGGCGGCCAAAAAGAACAAGAAGCTGGGCCTGACGGCAGTCGACAAGATCGACAGAGCTCTTCGGCAAGCTGATGCGCTGTGCTCGACGACCGCTTTTGAGACGATGCCAGAGCCACCTGAGCCTGTAGCTTCAGTGATCGCTGAGGACCGATCACTGATGTCCTCTTTTCCCCGTGCAACGGATTCGGTCATGAGCTCCTGCATGGATGACATGGAAACCTCACCATACTCTCACATGACCGTGTTTGTTGGCTCAGGGGCCCCTTTTTTCTAGCTCACGACTTGAGCACCTTGGTGCATCGCCGCGCCTGCCATAAATCGGTGCTTTGTGTGCCGTGCCGCTTCGACTTCGTTCGATCGAGCCCAACCTTTTGTGTTTGACGCTCTTGCGCCGCTTCGCTGGATAATGCCAATAAGTTCTAGGGACCATGTCCTTAAGATTTAAAGGCTGTAGTTGCAATTCCCATGTGTTCATGTCTAAATTCTACTTACCCTTGTTAGGCAAATTTTGACTGGCCAGGGTGGGCTTCTCACAAAGGTATCTCACGTTGGGAGTGTCCAATCTCCAACCCACACGCACACGCACATACACAGCAAATCCCGCGCCCCGCAGCCTGAACCTCACTCAGCGTCTGAGAAAAGTTTGCAACTTTCGTGGGATTTTGCCCCTGGAGCTGCCGAAATGTGTGCATCATAGGAGCAAGGACGCTACTAGAGGCTCCTGGCATCGCTACTAGGAGCAAGGACGCTACAAGGGGCTCCTGGCCGTACTACTAGGAGCAAGATTAGAAACAATCCACATCCCAAACGTACCAACCATTCGACCAGGGCCAGTCCTCTCGACCGTGCTCTGCACCGAAAAACGAGGGACTCGGTGACGGTATGTGGAAGGAACCCCCCAAAAGTGCATCGGTAACAGGAAAAAATCTGCACCACTTGAAATGAAACACCGTTTGTGGTGATGGATTCTGTCCAGTGGGGAAGGATTTCTTGTTTTCAACTGTATAGTAGTAGCACTAGCAATGAACATGGGGTTGTGCTGAAACGTCCACGAACTCTTGACTGGGATCTCAAGCTCTGCGATTCCCGAGCTGGCAATCTGATGACCCATCCAAAGTCTATCCATGTCATCAAATGATCAATATCACCAAAGAAGAACGGATGTGCAAACGACTCATCATCCTTCCTTCATGTGGCTTCTCTCCTATTATTGTATGGGGCATGTTAGAGCATGTTGGTCGACCCAAATGAGCAACACCTCACTTTATGGGAAAAGACTGTGCAACACCTGCCCTTCGTTCGCTGGGTCCGTAGAGAAAGAGCTGTTCTTTGAGAAAATGGCGCTCGCAATGTCTAAAGCCATCAACCCCTGTCCCCTGTCGGTTGCGTTGGAATGGAACACAAGGAGAAGGGCGATGGCATCTCCAAAGCACCCGGTTGACCGGATGACTCCCTTGGGTCAGGCCTTCCGCTTGCCAGTCAAGATGGCATCCACTGCAGACTCTTGGAGCCTGGCACAGCTTCTGTTGCAGTGACCAAGCTTTCGGTCGGATAGCACACATTGACCATTAGTGTGCAAAATAGTTCTGCACCTTATTCAAACCAAACTACATCACACAATAACGACTTCAACTTGTCAAAAAACTTCTCAATTCACATGTCCACTACATAGGAAGGGCTGGAAGACATTCAGCCGGCAGAGGGTCTTCTGAGAAGATGTGTGTACTGTGTATCTTTATATTAACATACGAATATATTGCTGACTCGGGACGGGCATTATCTTGATGGATTCTACAATAATTGCATGTAGAATGCGTCGGTTAAGCTCAATCTGGCGAATGCATGCGAATGCTGCTTCCATTCTCGGAAGGGAGAACAACTTGCGGGCCAATTGGACAACTTACCAACTAGTTGGGGTCATGTGCAAGCCCCTTGCGGATGGAAACCAAAAAAGGCCTCGCTAGTCCCATTGTCGCGGTGCTGGCCACCTTCGTTAGATTCCCCATTTATTGAAACATAATTATACATAATATATAATATAGTGGAACATCATGACAAGAGTTGTCAATCCTTCATGCAGTTCCCCAGATCACGCTGTAGCAACTCTGGCTTTGACAGCTCTGACAGCCGAAAAACAAGAAAAAAACACCTTCGGCGATCCAGCGCCTGAAAGTCAAGACCTCCTTGATGGTGGCCATCTGAGTAGTCGATGTTGGTCAGCCCAGCAATTCGAGGCTTTAAGTCTAACATGAAGTGCGAAGCTTGTAGTCCAATATATAGAGCTACTAGTAGCAAGGGCGCAAATAGGTGGAGGCCATCGCAAGTAGGTTGGAGGCCATCGCTACTAGTAACAAGAAGCTACTAGGAACAAAAGGGTCCAAAAAATCCCACCAATGCGAATCTAGTATCTAGTCTAGAGCATCGTGGCAGTTTCTGTGTGGCAACAATTCGTGCATTCCTGAGGAAACTTGAGAATGGGACAAAAACAACTGTGGCCCAAAACAGTAACACAGTAAGAATGTCTTGTGGGTTCAGGCAAGCCTCAAGCGGGGTCTTTCCGATTTATCCCACTGAGCACACATGAGAATCTCTGACAGTGACATACCTATTCAACGTGAAGAGCACCTGGATTCTCTTGGGTTCTCCCGAAAGCTCTTGCTACAGTGACTCAAGCCGGTTCAGAGCTTGAGAGGTTAAGCTCCAGGCGGCATTGTCCACAGCCCCATGTACCAAGCCATCACTCTGGCCCAGTAGCGCCTGGTCAAAATGCTGTCTTCAGATTCTTGCACAGCCGACATTGACAGAACTAAAGCTGTCGTCAGAGACTAAAGGATTATACAATGAATATACTATATAATAATGACTATAATATAATCTATATATAGACTACAAACATATTATATGAGATATGCAAAGTATCATCGATGTTTATTTTGTGGTTGAGATTCTAGCGGGCATGTCTGAGCTTTGCCCCACATCTGCACGCACAGCACCGAAGCCCCTTCTCTTGCAAGGGGTCACCCAACCCCAAGCGACAAAACAACACATGACTGCAATTGCACACGGTACATTTAGTTTCCTACTGCAATATGCAATGCCTGGACCAGGTCACTAGCATGTAAGCCACTGAGAAAAGGGCGTTCAGATGTGTTTGGAGTGTTTTTATGAGAGCATGTGCCCAGTGTCCCCCTATCGTTCTTCAAAGCTTTTGGACATGAAGATCTTTGGGTGTCGGTCCGTGTCATTATTCGTTTCCCTCCTGGATCATTCTCCGAAGAATTTCTCCAAGCTACGCGAAATGAACCTAGGCGCCTAATTAAGGCATGGTATGGCATGGTGCAAGTGATACGATCACGTTCTTCCCTCTGCAAGTGATGCGATCATCGCTCTCGATCGCTTCTTTGAGCTGGCACGGACCATTTCCTCCGCCCTGCCCTTCAACCTTCAAAGGGTCGAAGTGAAACTCTCGTCCGATCTCGGATGTTGTCGCGCTTTGTTTTGGCACGGTCCAGACATACAATATGCAAATTGGCAATTGGCATGGTATGGCTTGTCATGGCTTGTCAGTCCAAGTGTTTGAAGCGAAAAGCTGAAACCTTGTTCTCACAGGCTACAAGTTGTCTTGAGGCTTTACTGACTTCAGCAGTGTAAAGAAAAGAAGCATCTCAACAGGCCCAAGTGCTGGCTTCGAGCTCGGGTGACACGACGAGTGAGACGATTCGGCCGTGAGTGTCGATGCTTGTTTTGGAGTGTTACTCTCCAGAGTACGAAAAAACAACACAATACCGGTTGAGCAAGGGGGAACTTCTTGGCTTTAGTAGGGACATCATGTGAGATGCCATGCTCCCTTGAACTTCCAGAAGCATGTTCGATCGGAAGCAACAGCAATACGCTGCAAAATCGAATCAGTTGGAAGAGTTCACCCATTGGCCCCATGATCTGCATGGTCAGACCGAGTTCTCCCTGGACCCTCTCCCTGCAGGATTGCAACGTTACGACCATGCTACATGACTTGTGGACACCTGGTCGGCTATGGAGAGTGGACCCAAGTTGATTAAACCTTGAGTGTACCAAGATGTAAGACATATGCAAGTGTCCCTAAAAATCTAGAAGCCAAATCATTAGTGCGTGAGCTATCCTGCGTCCTACCTAGAAGTTAACTCAGCCTATAGTAGCTTGTAGGGAGGGGGGGGAGCGGGCAAAAAGGCAGATGGTACACTGATTTGCAGACAGATTCTCCGAAGCCGACTAGTAGCTTTTTGTTCCTAGTAGTAAGGCCAGGAGCCACTAGTAGCGTCCTATCGCTCCGTTCGTAGCGATGCCCTTTGCTCCGTTCGTAGCTTCTAAGATGTACCGCTCCCTTCACTGGACTCTGCACGACCGAAGTTTCCACCAGACCGGGTCGAGAGACCCTCTGGCAACTCTCAGGCCTGCGGCCGGCGAACGAAGCGTTTCGCCGCGGCGAACGAGGAGGTTTGGTCTGGATGGATTTGGTCGAGCTCGTTTCCAACCTCAATTCGTCCGAAGGTCTTCCAGCTTTGAGTTCTTCTTCCTTTTCTTGGTGGTGAACCGATCCCAGTGGCCTGGGGTAGCCTCAAATCTATGGAAAATTCTGCTGCTTGCCTAAAACAAAGAAACCCTGCCACCTACCTCCCTTCCCCATGCACTGTGTTCTATACCAGCACCCTCCACAGGTCACCACCTGCGGCTTTTGGGTCAGCAAAAGCAGAGGAGACTTGTTGGAGGGTGCTGACCCTTGGATGTAGGTCTCCACACACCCACCTCTGTGAGGTCATCGTTGAAGTGCAAATGGATCACCGGAATATGGTTGTCCGGATCGATGGACAAGCGGAGGAACTCTTCAGTCTCGTCCTCACATCTCGGAACGTGCAGTGGGCAGGTGCAGCGAAGCACTGTCACTCTGAGGATCCTCAAAAGCACGTGTAACAACGGTATTTGATTGGCCATGTGATCAAATCCACCCGCAGCTCGTCTCACGAAGGAGCGAAGGTGCCGGGCACAAACACCGAGGTGCGAACTGAAGGTCCGAGATTGATGGAGCTACTAGTAGCGTCCGATCGCTCCTAGTAGCGATGCCAGGAGCCCCTAGTAGCTTCTTGTTCCTAGTAGTAAGGCCAGGAGCCCCTAGTCTAGTAGCGTCCTGCTCCTAGTAGCGATGTCCTCCAACCTAATAGCGATGGCCTCCTCTTCTTGTTCCTAGTGCAAATGCCAGGAGCTACTAGTAGCTTCTTGCTCCTAGTAGTAATGCCCTTGAATGCACTTTTCGGAGTCTACATTCATGTCACCACTGAAAACCCCACTGAAAGCCCATGTATCCTCCATGCCATTTTCAGCCAACGTCTTCTCCATGTTTAAAGGCTTCCCAAGCCGCTTCCACGTATAGCTACCTGCTCGAAAACACATATGGTGCATTGTCAGTCGAGAGAGCAGGATACAACATGCTGACTGACACATTGTCTGGCCATCGTTTGAACATGTTTGAGAATGTATGTGAGCAATCAAGCGGGTGTCACCACAGGTGTCATCCCACAGTACCTGCAAACCTTCCAATCAAGCCGAACAGGGTGCAAATCAAGCCCACCACCTTCATGAATCAATTTGACCACATCGAGCTACGCATCCAAAACACGTTCGAAAGCATGAAACAAGCGTTCCACGTTTTCACCGGACACATGCTGCCTGCATGTGCGTTATGCACCAAATACCGTCGCTGGATCTCCGCGACTGTCTCTTCCACCGGCGCCTGAGGCGCGGGCACGCTGCCCTGATGGTCGGGTAGCGTCCTTGCTCCTAGTAGTACGGCCAGGAGCCCCTAGTAGCGTCCTTGCTCCTAGTAGCGATGCCAGGAGCACCTAGTAGCGTCCTTGCTCCTCTAATAAAATCATGTTCAGGGAATCATAGAGGGTCAATGGCAGGCATCATACACCTATTGGTGATTCACCTGGAGAAAAGCATGTGCTTGTTCAACCAACCAATAGTAAGCAAGGCCGTAACACAACCCTTTAAAGGTCCGGTTGAAGGACCAAATAGCAACTTTCTGATCAAGGTTTCGTGGGATCCTGGATATCATTGGATTGCATTTGGCATCCGACAAAGTGACTCCTTGCAGTTTTTTTTAGGGCTATGCGTAGAAACTGCATGCAAGCAAAGGAAGTTTAACATTTACATAAACACTCTTAGACTGAACTGCTCCTAATGAGACCTGCTACATCAAAACAACATGATTGACCATGGAATCCTCCCGATCAATGGCGGCTCATCACCATTCTCAGACCTGCTGAAGCATGGGAAGACCTGTCAAAACCCATGCCGCAGTGGTTGGCCAACTTCGCCCACGGCAGAACGACCATCTTTCTTCGCCTCCAAGGTGTTCTTTTGCCGGGTCAGCAAATTCCTCAGGGTCAGGGCGGAGTTGTTTGGATCAAACAACTCCTTCACAGCACAGTACGTGGAGTTGAGGATGGGGATAGGAACTCAATTGCGTCCAAACACAAGCCAATAGCAATGGTTTAAAGACTCATGACATCCTATGACAGGAGTTGCTGTGATTCTGAGGTGTTTTTCATTATAATACATCGGCACAATATCATTCAAGAACCGCATAGTGACTGTAGAGATTGCATCTTCCTTCGTGGCAAATGTTATGTGTTCCCTTCGCAAAGAACCCTGCACAGGGCATCGCTACTAGGAACAAGTGCATCGTTATTAGTAGCAAGAAGCTACCAGTATCTGCTACTAGTAGTATTGCACTTGCTCCTAGTAGCCATGCTACTGTAGTCCACCAAACGGATCACACCGAAGTGTTCCAAGACATCCGAGTGGGCTCAATCCGAGAGGCACAATACAAACCTTCCGCGTGGCTGCGGAGCGATAGCCAATCCAGTAGCGCCTGAGATAGTCGGCTTGTGAATTCTTGACTTATCTGAATGTGGGGATCTATACCGCACCCAAGTTCAAGTGCTTCCTAAAAGTTCCTACGATCCCCATGTCAATCAGGGATGATTTGATATAAGGCCAGTCTATCTATTATAATATATATGAAATAATATGCAATTAAAATATAGTTAGCTACTATGTGCCGCAGTGCTGCTTCAAGGTTTGTTTAAACGGGATTGTAGGGCTGCCTGCTGCAGTGGCCGAATCGTGGGCACGTGATGTCACTTGTTCTTCCATTTGGATATACTAGGTGCAATCGAAAAGTCCGAGCTGTTGGCAAAAGACATGGAAAGAAACAAATGCAAGAAAAGCATGCATCATGTAAGGCCATCGCTAGCTTGAAGGCCAGGGCCATTGCTATTGGCATGGACGCCGTTGCTAGTAGGTTGGAGGCCATTGCCAGAAGGTCGGAGGCCATCGCTTTTGGGTCAGAGGCCATCGCTCGTAGGTTGGAGTCTACAGTATGTCGACAATACCAAAGGAAAGCCGGTGCATGGCTTGTCTCAGCTCTACCTCCGTCCGCCTCCATCCGACACGTCCGTATGCGCTCCAGTATGCATCTGCTGGCACGTCCGACGCTTACTGTAACTCGGTCATGCGCCTTTGGTGACCACATGTGACCTTTGGTGACTGACCAGCACATGGAAGATCGCTCAAATTGGATGCAAAAGACTCTTCTCCATTTGGGGTAGATAGATGCTTATTCCAATTCAAGCCCACTGCTTCTGAACTCCAACTCCTCAACAAACCTTCCCCACCTGTCTTCTTCTCATGCCTTTTTCACCGAGACCAACGTCCGGTCCCAGCAGCGAATTTTCCCACCAAGGTGAGGTGAAGCTCGTCCCCTGCACATTGGGAGAAGGTGCACGTGACGACGGCCGCCCGTGGCATTTCCGGGGTTTGGAGGGTTTGGGGCCCAGCCTCCCATATAAACAGCCAAAGCTGTACAACTGGACCCTGGCAAGTGTTCAGTGATGTTCAAAGTCTGAAGCATCACTGCGAGTCGCTGCCAACCACCCTTTGAACCTCAAATACGAGTAGATGGATCATCTTGGATCTATCTGACCTTCCAACGTTGCACTACCGTCGCTCTTGGCCTTCCTGTTCTTCCAAATGAAGCGCCAAAGGGTCTTTGTCTTTGTCCTCTTTTGATATGAAATGAGCCGGTTAAGGAACCCTCCACGAGGTGGTGAACCCACTCCACCCACTCCACACCTGCTCTGGCACCTCGGGTGAAACGAGCTGACAATGATCACCGACCAAGGGACAAACGTGCCGAACGATTGTGCCACAAACCTGTTTCACTCTTCTCTTGGATATACCAATAGCCATCCAAAACAGTGGTCCATGTGTTTCTAGCGCCGCTCCAACGCCGACTGTGTTGTGGGAAGAATCTTCATAGCCCGACTCTGTGGCCCTCATGGTGTACAATGGCCATGCTAGTGGCAATGGCCAAAGGCAAAACACATCTGAGCTTATCACGTGGATATAGCGACCCCAAGGGCAGTAGACCTCCTGCGGGCACATCAATCTTTCAAGTTGGTGCCCACAGTCGGAGGGTCCTTGTCTTCTGCGTTTGGGGGGCAAAAGTGCCCACATATACGTAATCTTTGAGGGCTTTTTGGAGTGTCAACTTCGAACACGAGAAACGATTGCAAAAAAATGGAAAAGGGACTTCTGTGGACTCCATAGCCTGAGTGAAACGAAAAAGGGCCCTGCTATCCTCCCACCCGCGAATGCTCCTTCTGGTGGCGTCTGATGTAGATGACATACATGCATGGGACATTTACATCCCTAATAATCACATGAATTGCGAGATATTGCAATCATATGCAATGGCATAGCAAAAAGATTGCCGTCCGAATCAACATCAAGCGTACATCATGAGGATTGAATCTGCGTGCGTGGCAGTCCTTCGTACTTGTCACTGGGTCCACATGCGTCTTCGGCTGGCCAGTGATCTGGCAGGGCCGTTACGCATCTCTACCCCTTCTTGCTTGAATGCTTTAACAATCACACAGAAGTTTCCCTAAAAAATCTATGTAGGAAACAAATCATTAGTGCGAGCGCCTCTTCAAGGAAGCTCCCCGCCCTCAGGCGGGAGGAGCTTCCCTGAAGAAGCGTGAGCAATCCTGCATCCAGTAGGTAGCAGCTAGTAGCTTACTGAAGGGGGTGAGCGGGCTAAAACTTTAACAACATAACAATGTAAACGTACTAAAAATTTATGATGATAATAGTAATAGAGTTAGTTTTGTGCAATTCTTGTTGTGTTCGTTTGTTTTGGTCTTCAGTTCCTGGAGATATCCCGCCTCATCGAACCAGAAGGAGATGTCGGTGCCCGCAGCGGCGATGATGGGCTGCGCCAAGGGCCCTTCATACTCCGCCAGCAGTGGAGTCAAGTCCTCGGTGTGCGAAGAAGAGACCAAGATTGGTGACAGAGTTGGCCCGAAATCATCCAAAGTGGTTTCTATCTCACGCGTACAGGATTGTACAGGTACAATCCCGTAATTTGTATCCTATGACTTATCCTATGGTAAGTCCCCTTTTCTTCCCCAGGTGGGGTTCCATCTTTCGTTTGTCCCTAGAAACACCTAGAACGTGTTCAACTTAAGTATCTCGAGTTGCCAATATGTGCCCCGGCCAAGTTCCACCCTTTTTTGCTGCGTGTGTTCTTTCGTGGATGGGTCACATCTGGAACCGTCGGAGCTGGGCCACGTCAGTTACGCCAGACGGCGGTGTTGTGGGCAGGGGTCGAGAGAACGCATCCTCGAACGCGACCGTCGTTAAACATGCAACCAAAAAAAATCGAATCATATCGAATCTTCACGTTCAAATCTTTCAAGTGCTGAGTGCAGGGCCTCATCCAGAACTCCAAGTTGCGCCGGTGTGGGCCGAGGCACGTAAACTTTTCCGAAGAAGGAGACCCAGCAGTCGTGCGGCGAGTTGTGCTGGACCTGAGAATGGGCTGTGCGACGGTCCAAAATGCATAACCGGCAAATGATTTGGAGGGTTCAACTGTCTATCTGTGATGTTATTGACTTCAGCCTTGACGAATCATATATATATATATATATGTTTTGCTTCGATTAAGATTAAGTGTTGCCATACGTTACCATCTTGCTCCAAAACTTGATTACTTCATGGAAACTCGTGGAAGTTGGTGATCCTGCGACATTCTACAATCGTGGTCGACAAATTGAACTGACTGCCAATTCTGAGACTTGGATTCTTGGAACTGGCTTGGGACACGAGTCCTGTGCATTTCTGGCGTGCTAATCTCTTTTCAAAAAAAAAGAAACTGCCTGGGAAACTGGTTTTCCAAGTCCAGCTGGCTTCGCAGGCCGGAACGAAGCAACGAAGCAACAGAACCGAAAGTAAGCTTCTGACCAGTGCAAGGCCAGACAAAACGTTGGAGAAAAATAAGAAAACAACACAAGTTTAGATGCCTGCCCCCATGTTGGCCCCCCCCTTGGCTCCCCAACGATGTCTGCTGCTGTGTAGTAGCGCTGTAGTTGATATTCCTGGGAGAGAGCTGTCGATCGCAAGATCATCGCAGTTTGGTCACAAAAAGGACCAAGGCAACTTGTTGTGGCAAGGAATTAACATCAGGCACAAGAGTTGGAATTCCTCAATGCTCAAATTACAAAGCTGAGGAATGTATCGGAGAAAACATGGAGAATTAAAAAAAAAACGATGCATATCGGCAAATCGATTTGCAACATTTTGAGTCAGCAGCTTTAGCTTTTAACAGATTCTAGCAACCATCGCACGCTTTCCTCACGGCCACTCTGGATGGAAGACATTGGAAAACAAGAATTGCAGTGTCCCCGTCTTGGTTTGCTGCATCTGTCATCAGCTGCAACATCAAGCAACAACTGCACGACTTCCAAGTGGCCGTTCTGAGATGTAGGAAAAATTGCTGCTGGCTATCCTATACATGCTTACTGCCGGCTTGCACCACTCCCAAATGGCTATACCTCTCTCCAATTCGGACCTTGTGGGTTTTGACGCACTAGTACTAGGGTCTATTTTGCCCACACAATTCTCTTCATATATTTGAAGCAGCTCTGCATGTCCTTTTTTGTCACGAAGAGCACAAAAGTCCAGGATGACCAAATGCAAACTTCGCCGTGGACACATGTCATCCGATCCCTTCGCTGAAGAGCCGTTGCCAATACCTTGAAATTTGAACCTGATTGACAAGGAACCGTTTCAGGTCCCTTAATGAATGTCCATGTTCCACCATGCAAAGACACTCATCCTCATCAAGCTCAGTGACAAGCGACAATTGCACCGGACAAGGCAATACAGTGTCTTTCAGCAAAACAAGTTTTTTCCGCATACCAGTAAGCCACAGGGCAAGGGTAAGCTATGGACAGAATAAACTCCAATCAATGAACAACAAACCCAAAGCAAGCGGTCCCCGCCACGGAATGGGCATCTTGGACTAATGTCACATAGATATTATACTATATATCTATATCGTAGTATATGTATAATTAATATATATATATAGTATCTACATAATTGTAATATAGATTTATATAGTTATACAATATAATATGTATATATATATAGTCAAATGCTGAAGGTGTTTTGTTCGAACGCCCATGAGTGCATTCAAGTGGGTGACCACAAGGACCGAAGAGCCGACTGTGGAGGCGGAGAACAGGTCAGTCCTTCACTCTGTATCAACCCTCTCTGCAAGGCTGGAACCCTCTACTTTGGGTCTATCCCATTTCCAGTAAGAGTGGATGATGAACACATAGTGATAATTAATTGTCGACTGACTGTTACAGGTAATCGGACAGACCCAACCTCTACTATACACGCTTTATGGCCTTTGCGCTTTTCCTAATCACATTGCAGGCTTAAAAACCATTTGCAGTAACATCCATCTTGACACTCTTCCAAATCACCCATAGCAGCAAATCACTGTGCGCAAATTGAACTACAGCGGCAGCGGATGGTCGCATTTACACTGTCTTTCTGGGGCAGAAAGCTTGGTTTCGTCCCCGTTTCACGCTTGGAATGGCTAAAGCATATTAAAGCATGCGTGTTCCCTTGAGTGCAGGTTGCCGTTCGAGGGTGCCCAGTGGAGGCACCGACCGAACCACATACTTGCCCAGGTCTTCCGATCCCAACTGCCAAAGCTCCTTCGGTATGTCACCCTTATGTACTTCTGCAGCAAACCGGGGCGGCTGTGGCTCGCCTATGAGCGGTCGTGGGCAACGACCGGCGACACATGAGCGAATCGAAGGAGCCCCGTTCGTAGCGTCCTTGTTCCTAGTAGCGATGCCAGGAGCCCCCTAGGAGCGTCCTTGTTGGAAGAACTCTTCTGGTCACATTCGGAATAGGCCTCTTGATCGACCTTCTAACGTCCCGTGAGGAACATATGAGATGAAACAAACGTCGGAGTCGTTGGCCAACGGAACCGGTCGACGGAGTCCAGCGAGCGTCCAGATTTTGGAGCTGAACAAAGACTCAGCGAAGTCATGCATCTGACATGCAATTTGTTCAAATTCTGCAGCTGTCTGAAACTGGGTGTCAGCTGAGGTCAGAAAAAAACATATACATGTTTGTTTTGGTATGTTTTAACTACCGCGTGTTGTTAATTGGCTCGCCTGAAGGACTCAACTCCCACTTGTTCTTCAAAGACTTTGTTAAACATACTCTAAACTACCAGTACGCCTCACTACCCTCCGACTTGCCATCATGGAAGTGGAAACTCGTCCATTTTGGACTGTGCTACCCACCCTCCATGTGATGCGTTCATTGGAGTTCGCGTGTTTTTCCAGTTCTCTTTTCCGCCCTGCCTGTGGCCATGTTGGCGGACCCCCGCATGCAAAAAAGAGAATTCTCTTGAGCCCCAGCGGGTTCGGGCGCTGCACAAGCCGAGCAAAGACCACTAGTCGGATCATGTTGAAACTGCAAAATAAAATTGTCTCATCGTGTCTCGACGATTCTCTCCCAGTGTGGTTGATGAAAGTGTGTTTCGATTTGGACCCTCTCCTTCGTGAGAAAACTCACTTTGACGTGTTTATACTCTTTTAATCAAGGCTGTCAACATTGGAATTGGCAATCAGCTGTCCACGAGTCCATCATGATGCATGAGAAGCCAGTCCTAGCAAAGACAATGCTTGTTTACACCTGGAAGTGAACTCAAGCCTCTGTGAAGGCAGAATTGCACAGTGTGATGTTAGAAACATTTAAACTTAATAATACAAGAAGGGGGGTGGGGCGGCCCTCTTAAGAGTGAGCTCTTAGCGCGTGGAATCGCAAGGGGAGGAGCCGTGGAGGACCAAGACAACGGCGCATCAGAACCTCCAGTAAGTGTAAGTGAGGTATGAGTTGGTGTGAGTTGAGGGGCCAGGGAGTGTAAGAAATTGAGTGTAAGTGAAAGTGTACGCGAGAGTTAAGTGAGTCGAGTTGGTGAGTGTGCGATGTGTTTTGTGTGAGTTGGAAGGAGACAGGAGGCGGGAGGCGAAATGGGGGTGGTGCACAGCAAAAGTAAAAACCCCACCACAAGAGCCGTAGGGAAACACAAGAGCCGTCAATCTTGAAGTTCTGAAAAAGTCTTGCACAAGAGGCATTTTTAGACATGTCAAAGTTCGTTGCAAGCGTGACACTTTGACGAGGTCGAAGTGCAGAGCAAGCACAGCATTTTTGTAGATGTCCCACTGCAGTAGATTTTGTGGCAGCTGCGCAGCATTTGGTGGACATCGAAGTGCAGATTTCCTGGCAGGTGCAGCACTTCCACTACCAGCGTTTCCACCAACAGCAGCGGCAGCAACATCACCTCCGCTTCCAGCTCAACCGCCTAGCTTGGGTCCACTTGGGTGGAAAAAGGATAGAACGTCTGCTGTGTGCTCGGGCAATGCATCGTCGAACCTGTGATCTTTGGAGTCTAAGTTCATTGGGTTTGATAATGTCATCACCGCTCCAGGTAGAAAATGACCTGCCAGGCAGGCTGGAATGAATAGGAATGACCTGCCTTAGCTACATTCCCTGCAAGCGCTATATAAGATGGCTCGAAAAGCCGCTGCCGACACTTCTGAAGGCCTCAGGTCTTGAACGTCTCGAAGGTGAACGCAGCGTTTGCCAGCGGCAAACACATGCTTTCAGTGTTCTGAACGGCAGTTTCTCTACACCTACAAGAACCAGTTCTATATATTTCTGTATATACAATAATACGATAATATATCATTTCGTCTATACGTTACCAATTAGTAATAAGTAACTTCATCATTCTCATCCACAATCTTTACTTTTCTAACACTTCATCTAACTAATTTGCAGTCCTCTCACATGTACGGCTCTGGTCCGGGCCTTGCCACGGTGCAGCTCCCGCGTGACATCGTTCAAGGAGCGGTCACGAGTGATGAAGCGCTGCACGGTGTCGTTCAGCTCCTGCGTCGTTCTCCCGAGCCCCGGGGCTTGGGGAGACGTGGTGGTTTGGGGATCTCTCGGTACATTCATGTTGAGCATTTCTGGATACAAGAGACACAATTTGGGCTCTCTGCTTCGCTGGGACAAACTCTAAGTAAAATGTATATATATCATAGATGGCATATGACGGCACAAAATACACTGAATTCAATGATTTGCTCAGATTTGCTCCGGAACCGTTCTACGTTCACATACATTCACTCTGATTCGATTGGAAGCATTTGTCTGATTCTCACTTGACATGATACAAAATCAATCAACATGATACATCTTGATACCCTGCGCGCATCCAGACCTGTAGACAAACTGTAACTATATGAGAGCAGAATCAGTGCCTCTTGCAGCATCTTGCTTTGTTATGCTTTGTTTAACGAACCAATCAAACCCTCATTTCAAGGTCTTCACAGTTTCACCAACTGCCCCAATGCTTTCTCCTTTACTCGTAGTCCAAGAGAGTCCAACCACTGTGTAACAACTCATAGCCGAGAAGACGCACCGACTCATGGGTGATGGATGGTGTCTACACCGGTGAGTCCGCCCCGGTGAGTCTGCCTCATGCACTTGCGCAGAGGCTCTGCGAGGCTGCCGGCGCCGATCCATGGGCAGATCGGACGCGATGGATGTCCCGAGCCGGATCCCTTCCTACGAACGGAGCATTTCGGGCATCGCTACTAGGGGCTCCTGGCCGTACTACTAGGAGCAAGAAGCTGATAGGGGCTCCTGGCATCGCTACTAGGAGCGATCGGACGATCGGACGCTACTAGGGGCTCCTGGCCTTTCTACTAGGAACAATGTTCGCTACTAGGAGCAAAGGGCATGGCACACCTCAGCGCTCTTGCTCGTGTACGAAAGGCGTGTGTGTGTGAAGTATACAGCATGTCCTTTTGCTCTGCAGCAATTAGCTGCAAAGTTCGTGCTCGGCTTTTGGGGCCGGCCAATACGGCTCATATTCGCTCACCATTTCTGCCTTCAACCCTCTAGAGCCAACAAAGCCCACAGGTAGTACCCATGTGTCCTTTCAGCCCACCACCTTGGTGGTCGTTGGAAAACGCCATGGGGTGGTCTTTTGCAAGACATGACCTGCACCTTGGGGCTGGTCCCCCTTCCCTATGTAAATACGTCCAGTCTGGCAAGGAAATGTTCCCTATGTACACAGGTGCAAGGAAATGTTGAGTCGACGAAATATGCTGCCACAGCATCTTCAAAGCTATTGCATCCCGGCCGGTGTGAGATGCACCCCCTGACATGTTGCATGCATGTGTGAGGTATAAACCACTAGGTCATGAGTGATTCTCAATCCCCTTACTCAATTATAACATATACCATATATAAAATACATAATAGTTGTTGTACTTCATCCTCATCTTCTTTGCTATATGTTCATATTAACAATGATGGGGTTAAGATATGAAATTTAAGGTCTATGTTGGTAAACGATGATTGACAGTGAACATACGGATAGAAATACCAAAATATACAATTTATATATGTTTACCTGTTGCATGCATTTGTGAGGTATTGACTATATTGTATCTGTCATGAGTAGTTCTCATTCCCTTTACTTAATATACAAAAATAATAGTTGAGTCTGGCACGTCAAAAATACTAGTTGAGTTTTGAACGTACGCCGTTTAAAATTTGCTACTCGTGGCTTTCAACAGTCAGGTACCTGTCAGGTACCTGTCAGGTTACATAGATTCCCATAGATTTTGTGCGTATTAGGGTGCCTGCAAGAAACACTAAAATAATGCCGCAATCGTTTATTATGACGGCTAAATGTTCCCCTTGCCGTCTTCGTTTAGCAGGGGCTCAACCTTTGCCTTTCATCTTTTCCGACCCTGTCTGGACTGCTTCCTATGAACCCTCTCAACTAGCGAGCCAGGTACTGTACCCCTACTATAAACAACGGCCTCCTCCAAGCCACATGTGTTTGTAAGGGGATGGAGACAAACATGATGTTGATCGGAACCATTCCTTTCAACAATAAAAGACCCGTATTATATATGTTGTTGAAAACAGTCTGCATATTATATGTTGTTTAATGGGCGGGAGGCCGTTTAAAAGGGATTACGTACTGTATTGCTTTTGGACATATCGCACCGAAGTCCACCGACACACACTCCGACACACATCCAAAATCCTGAAACATCTCAGTCTGCCAGGACGCCGCTTCTTTTGAAAATCGTTGGTGGACCGTAGAGTCACGCACCCCGGGCCCGGCATGAACCGTCTTGACAACTAATATTATGTAAGTTGTGCTTCAACACCGGGATTCAGCCAGGAGGGGTTACGCTGTCGTGTTGCCGTGTTTGGGCAGAAGATTGGCTTTGCCAATCAAGTCATAGCCTGATGTCTGAACATCGCAAAAATGGCTCAAGACTTAAATGACTTTTTGAATGCTCACTGGGATTCCTCAATGCAAGGAGTGTGACCATCTAGGGTTTGGGGTCACTTGAGGCAAGCCATTCTTGCAAACCGATGCACGATGAATTTCCTAGATCGGCCAGAGCTTTCGCCTCGACTCCAATGGCCAAGGAGGCTCCTCTGTTCCCAGTCTGGATCAAGCACAAAATCCTTAGAGAAGTCAGTCACTGGAATGGATGGGAACCTCCTGCAAGAGTCACCATCGATGTCAGCGCCGTGAAATCCCAGCGGCAGAACACCGGCCACTTGGCGTGTTTGTTTCGAACGCCAACGACCCTCCTATACGCACGTTCTCAAGCCGTGAACACCGGAAGGCATCGTCGGATCATGGATTGAGTTGTCACTCTCTAAAGCTTCGTCAAACATGGTGCTGCTCGCCAACGCTTCAGAATGGAACTTCAGGGCACTTCCGATCCTCTCTTTACAGAGCTGGTGAGTTCCGGCCGTTTCGCCGCACTCAGCAGGAGTTGCCCTTCCTCGCATCGACCACCATCTCCAAGGGAAACCGAGAGACACCCACTTGCTCCATCGCATCCTGGAACGCGAAGGTTGGAGGCCATCGCTAGTAGCTACCCCCCGAAGAGGAAAACATATAACTGTGTTTTTTTTAATGATTTCCTGGAACCCGAAGGCTGGAACTCAGGCCCGGAGCCGCGAACCGAGCATCACAGAGCGTGGAACAGAGGCGAATGGCACCCCGCAGTCAGTCAAGAGCAACCCGATGATCCGTAATTTGAGGGTCCAGCCGAAACCGTAGAAACAACGACATGCAAATTTATCAAATTTATACTAAATTTATAATAACGTTTAATCCTGGTATAGTCGTAGTTGATCCTGTTATCATGATTTATACTACTATCAAATTTATCAATCTACTCGTAATAGTTTGATCCTGTTTGAGAATTTCGCACCCACAGTCTGAAGGTCACCAATGTCGCCAGTTGGACCTGCAAATCCTTGGGGATAGAAAGTCCGAACTCAAAGAAACACCACTGAACTGTGCACTGTGCACCTTCCAACCATTGCGTGCGTTGTAGTAGATCAAGATCGACTCGGGATCATTTGGATTTTGGATCCTCGGCGAAATCGTGGCGAGAGGAGATTTGTTCGTGATCACCGACTGGGTGATAGGGGGTGGCACCAAGTGCATCGTCAGAATGGCTTGGTGGCAAGGGCTATAGCATCTGCTGGTTAGTTGAATCCTGCTCAATGCTCAACTATGGGCTTGGGTGATTCAACAAGCATGGAACCCCCTCACAACCGTTGCAAACTGTTGTAAACAATGATACAAACTACTATACAGGGTCACACCATACTTTCTTCAATGTGCCCGTTCATTATGATTGTCTCTTAGATAGAAAAGTGTAGGTGTCCTTGGAGGTCCTCCAGGCAAGGAAAATTTCATGCACGACACACTGCACCCCGAAACTGACCCAAAAGAAACATGCTGCTCTCCGCTCCTGGCCGCTCTCAGGTCTTGCATCCCACGGAAGAAGCCCCGGTGCCCGTCGCCGAAAGAAAAAGAAAACGCTCACTCACTCGGTAGGATCTTGGGCACCGGACGTATCAAAGCCATAGCAGAAGGCCTCTTTCCAACTGTTCTCTTCCAAGGTAGGACCTCAGATTGCACCACGTACTACACAGACCACTCACGATCGCTATCGCTCGGCTCAGCTTGGGTGTGTGTGTGTGCGAGCCCTATGGCCAAACCTGAAGAAGCAAACTGAAGAAGCAAACCCAAACACCCGGAACATGTTCCTATTTGACACGCTTAAAGAACCCACTTCTTCCGATTGAATGAAGCGGTTCAAGGAACCCTCGATTAATTGGAATCTTGATTGACCTGTCATCTTAAGTGGATACTGGCTGCTTCCGACTTCCATTAAAGCTTCTACACTGGAGTGGGAAGGAGAACCAACAAACGCATCGTCTCCAACTGGCGGAGAGGACTTTCTTGGACCAGGAATTGATGCGTTTCAAATTCAAAAACTGGCGATCCCCATCGTTGGATGCCTTACAAAAATGCGACCGGGGGTCAAATGAACTTGGAGATCACCGGCTTCCACGAGAAGCCACCGTCCTGACACTGGGAGGATGTGTCCAGATGGAAGGCAAAATGACCAAGGCGTCAACACGTGTCAATAGAGTTTTGATTAGGTTGATAGTCCTTGGGTGTTTCCAGTGTTTCCATATCTGAGCTGGCTGATGCATGTCTTCTTCAGCATTGGTTTCTTCAAACATATAAGTACACGGAGTGGCACTATGTATCACAATACATAGTGACAGAAAATGACAGGAAAAATCATGATAATCATGAAAAATCCGTTTCGTCTGTTTCATCGAGACCGGAGGGTGGTCGAGAAATGCCATTGTTTTCCAAATTCCTTCTCCAACGTCCGATCCCCGTCAGCACCCACGTCTCCGCGGAGACGTGACACACTGACTGAACAGGTCAACTTGGTCACATGAACCGCGTGGTGAACCGATGGCTTTCGACGTGTTCTTTTCAAAAGCATTCAAAAGCACTGAATGGCACATGCTCTCACAATGTGCTCTTGTCTCGAAGCTGATCAGTACATTGGAGAGTGGGAGGACTTAGGAAAAACAACCACATCCAACAATCTTGTGCACGTCTGGCAAAAAAAAATCACGCGTCACCACCATCTGAAGAGTCGCTTTCCAAAGACTGACCTGGCTCTCATTTGCAGCAAAGAATCCGTGGTGCGCAACAAAGACAAAGTGCTGCCAGTCTGATTGGTCGCTGGATTGTATGTAAGCCTGCCACAGAAGCGCACTTGCAAATTTCAAGTATCACATCATCCAAACACGATCAAACACACGACCTTCCAATGTTCAGACGTTGTCTTCCGGGAAATGGGACAAATCAAACCATGAATCCCATATGAATCCGATGTCTTTAAAACATGTATTTCACTGTGTTTCACATTGTGTCCACCTCTCCAAGACAGAAACCACACCAGGAAATTCAGTGGACAAAGCCTTAACACAGGTCTGGAACACCTCCCCGACACGCCGTCTAACGGGCGCGCGAATCACACACACAGATTCGGAAGGGGCGCCTGTTGCAAACGGCAACACCTACACCATGTTGGTCGATGTCTGCACTGGGCACCTTGACCATCTTCCTGAGCGCTGATCAACAAAGGGACGACAGAAGCAACAGCAACGTTTACAGGTGAAGACATGCAATGTCCAATCTTGACTTGGAAACCTCCCCCTAGCAAACGATCGAGGCAGACTGAATTGAGGCAACCCCACCAAAACGATTTGCGAGCAGCAGCAGCAGCAGGAGGAGTAGTAGCAGTAGTAGTAGTAGAAGTAGAAGTAGAAGTAGGAGTAGGAGTAGGAGTAGGAGTAGGAGTAGGAGCAGCAGCAGCAGCAGCAGCAAAAGCAGAACAATAGAAAAGTAAGCTTAGATATTTTTCGTCTGGCTCCAAGTTGGCACATTAATCCCACCCCCTAAACAGTTGCTATTATATATTGATTCAATTTCCCTGAGCTTGTGTACTACTCCCTTGAAACATTGTCTGGAGATGAGGCTTAATAAGGGATTTTGAACAAGGTTTTCAGGTCAGAGTTCCATCGGTGGAGCTTTTGTTCAAGATCGATCAATCAACAAATCAAACAACATTTAAAACAAATAAGAAATAGGGCAAAAAGACATGTCTGAATTCCAACTCCCCAAGCTATTCAGGCTGCGGCAATAACTTATTGCAAACCACTACAAGAGACCTGATCCGATCGTGCTCCCCTTTCAGAGACTTCGGACATCGCGTCTAGACACGGAAAAAAAAAAAAGCGCGCCAGGCGCCAGCTTCGCGCCCCTGGCCCTGTCACGGCGACCGCTGGTCACGGGTGCCGAGCCGCAAAGATCCATGACCCTTGATGAAGAGTCCTGGTGCAAGCACTAGGACTCTTAGGTGCATCGCTACTAGCAAGGAAGGGCATTTCTACTAGTAAGCGAGCCGAATCAGCCAACACTTGAGCAGTTGCCAATAGTGCTGGACTGTCAAAGTTCAAGCTTCAAGGCCTTCATGAGGGCTCCGCCGCTGGAAAAGGATTGACACCAAAATCCGTACGTGAAACATGATACCATTCGCACACGTGCACACATGTGCACACCACTCTTCACCACCACCACCAACCGGGAGATGGTGATCATCTATCCTCAACTCTCCCATCCACCCCTTGGATTTGCTGAAGGAACTTGGAAAAACAAAAACAACAAATATACTTTTCACCAGAACAAAAAAACACCCATAAGCAAACACCATAGGAGCGATCGGACGCTACGAACGGGGCTCCTGTTCTTATTACTCACTAGGAACAATAAAGCTACAAGCAAAAACATCACCAGGACAGCAAAACCAGGGCCCTCATCCACCTGTTTGCGGCGTCTCCTGGGAACTCGTTGGGGATGACCAGCGGCTCCGTCACGAGGCGCTTGTAGGGGCCGGTGAGGTTGTCCGACTCTGCAAGGCCCAGATTTAAAGGTTCGTCCACATTGGCGTCCTCCAGGTGGATCTCACCTGAAAGCTCTCTGGAAATACATGAGGTATACTATATATTGTATACTATCGATTGTATACTATAGATTGTATCTGGGTTGATATGATACTTCCCCGTGAACGTCGTCAAGGGAGAAAGTGCGAATGCACTTGAAAGTCTCATCGGTGGGCTGCGGCTACAACATGGAAAAGAGGTCTTCATAGGTGCTTCTTGTTAGTAGTAGTAAGGCCAGGAGCCCCTAGTAGCGTCCTGGCTCCTAGTAGCGATGCCCTTTGCTCCTAGTAGCTACTTGTTCATAGGTGCTGCTTCATGTTTGGCTTGCAAACTCTTGGAACTTCATCAAACACTCTCCCTTGGCAAATGTGTGAATGAATTGAGCGAGTGGCATCAGACTGAATCACAACAGAAACGACTCTGGTATTCTCCGAGTGAAGTTATATCCCCGTCATGCAGCTCGCACATCCGTGTCACCACTTCAATCTGGTTCCCTCACACTGCCGCTTCTGTTGCTCGGATGGCCTGTGACCCCCCCTGAATCTGAAGAGGCGAGGGAGCTGTGCCTATCAATGTGCTTAATGAGTTCCCCCAATAGAAAGATGTTTCCCCCTTGTTGTCACCATTTTTGTCGAGGGGTAAGAATGGGCAGAAACTCTTCAGCAAGAGATCCGAGCAGGGCTGACTCAAGGCTCTTTGCCACCGAGGCACTTGCAGAGTAGTAGAGCCAGTACTTTCCTCTCGCATATGCGCATGCAATGTGGTCAAAGACCGACTCTCGTCAGAATCCGGCGTCTACGGCGTCTAGCTAAGAAGCCAAGTGATTGAACACCTAACAAAACATGGCAAAACCTCCTCCACTGCACAACGGCTGCACCGCGTCTCTAGCAGAGTCCAAGAAGTGTTAAAGCAATGACTAGACGTCAGTGGGGACTGGAGAGGCGTCCATGGTGCGAGGGCTGAGAAGAGTCTAGGACCTAGGAGCTTGGGCATGTTGATGAGTGGGCTCACTCTCCTCTGCTTTGCATGAACAGAGTCTTCGGCAGTCTGCAAGGTCTGTGGTCATGTGGTTTGACATTCTGGAGGGACCAGAACATGGAAGAGCTAAACTGGACAAATTGGAGCAGCTGCCAATCGTGCATCTCTAATGAGAGCGTGTGGCAGATAAAGCATAGACCACGGATTCATGAAAAGCACCGATCCACGTGGTGGTGAACATGTTGCAGATTGCCCAAAAATAGTCTGACTGGGAATTGAACCAAGATTTCTGTGGAGTATATGTGAGAGTTTGCGAGCATTTCTTCCGTTGAAGCGAAGAAAAAACCGCTCCATCAAGCTCCACAACACGAGCTCTGAATTTCTATTTGCAAATCGATCCAGAGACTGGAGATCACTGTCCATGTCCTTTCACGGCGTTGTAGAAGACGAAAGGATTGCCAACTCTTGCTTGCCCATACTTCCCCCACTCAAGCTCAGCTTCCAGGATTGGGGTGTAATTCCTTGGATATGAGAACTATCGGAAAATGTCACTTGCCAACTCTTCTTGAATCATGAGTCATCTCAGCCTTCTGGAGACTCTGTAAATACTAGGGAAAGAAATACCTTCACATATGTCCTAAGAAGGACGACAAAGCGTCTTGAACTCCCACTTTCCGATCTCTGCTTCAGCACACATGATCTTGCCTGGCGCAATGGGCTGAACACGCTATCAGTTTGTCCGACATTCGATCAATGACTTGGAGATGTCAACTTACACGTGCTCAGGCAGTTGGGCACGAAACTATGAAACATGTCGGCTTACGAGTATGTAGGTCCAGGTCTCCCACTAGAATAGTGTATATCTCACTCTGAGTAGTGTCTGCTGCTTTCCAGTTCAATCACAGGGCTGAGAGTAGACTGTCACACGACAAATAGTGTGTCACACAAAAACACGCGGACAATGATCTTATAACAGCAGAGTATGTACGCTGAATTCAAGCTCAGTTGCTCGCAAAAATATATGGGAACTCGTACTTCTCGTAAAACCTGGCGATGTTGAGCATGATTGAACCACATCTTTCAATGCAAACGAAAAGCTTCTGGACACTTGCAAACAATAAAGATTCCAGGATGTATGTCCATGTCCGGCAAAAGCATAGTATAGTTTCTGGTATGTTAAGTACACGTATACTTTCTCGTCTGTTCCGAACCCCGTTGGGACGATTCCCTTTTGCAGCCAGCTGGTAGAATATCTTCTTCCATGAACCACTGAGGAGACGCCCATTAAAGAAAGTCATATCCGCAGTCACTACTGGCTTCGATGACCTTCGGTATTTCACCCTGCTCAAACCCAACACAATCCATTGGCCCATGGGACTGGAACATGTATACCATTGTATACTTTATACATACATTTATTTATGTATCCAGTAAATATATACCTTATAAATCCTGACAAAAAAGAAAAACAACACCTGTAAAATATCATATATATATATGTATTAAAGTGTATATTACATTGTATACCTGCATTAACCCAGGGGCATCCTAACTCTGATCGGTCAATATGCAAGTCCCATGGAGTGTCTAGGAAATTGAACGCAACGTGATACCCCGACCCCGCTGCGGTATGTTTTTGCGGAACCATCGACAGCTACCAGTATCGATTAAACTCAATCGATCAGCTCGAATCTGGCTCTTGTTGCCAACACTAAGCCTCCCTGTATCGGTACATACCATACTTGCCATAATACCCAAACTAAGGCGAGCACCTCTTTTGAATTCCATGTGAGCTCCTGGTGAAAAAGGTAACTTTCCAAGTGAGCTCATTCTTACTAAGATGTTTTAATCCTTCCATGTCATGTGACATAAACAACTTTCATATCATTATATAACAAAACTGATAATATGAATCTATCGTGCTTTATAACAAACAGTTCCTTCTTCCTTGGAGCAACCAAGATTTTGGGTTTTAGCCCATTGGAAAAAAATAAGAACTCACCCAAGAAGTCATAACAAATATCACCCTCCTTTGCACCCGCGCAAATCCCACAGCTCACCGCTACGGCCGCCCAAGCCACAAAGTTACAGTCTGCTTGGCTTCATCGAGGTAGGCATAGGGTCGTACAGTCCCAAAGCCGCTGATCGAATCCTTGGCGACTTGGCCTGGAACTGCCCTGTGGATGTGAAGATCGGTCTATACTAGTAGCTTCTTGTTACTAGTAGCGATGCCAGGAGCCCCTAGTAGCGTCCTTTTCTCCTAGTAGCGATGCCCTTTGATACTAGTAGCTTCTTGTTACTATATATATATATATTATATACATGAAGATCTGCATCTGGCCTAGGAGGATCTCGAAAGAGCCAAGTAGTTACTAGTTGACAGCAAGAGGCACAAGAAAGGGAACGTCCAACTGACGAAGCACGCAGCTTAGGATCTGCAAAAGCCCCCGAAAACTCCAACTCAAACACCTGTAACCGACCCCTCCACCGCCCAGGCACATCCAGCTGCTTGAAATTTGTAGGATCTTTGGCATCCGCCACGTAGTGTTGAATGTTTGCAAGCGCTCCATTGGTCCACATATGAATCTCGTCACCGATTTGTTGCACCTTGGTCCCAAGAAAAGCTCCAAACCCGGACGCCTTCTTAGTCGGGGGGTCGGGGCGCTTCTGAGTTGGACCTACTGTTGGACCTTTAAAATACGTAGCGCGGAGGCCCTTAAAGGAATCACTGAAAAAAAAAGCTCTTGATAAACAGCCGGTAAGCGTTTCCTTCGATCAACTGCGTGCTTTTGTGGCCGTGAGTTGTTGCCGCGAAGCATCAAACACATGGAATTCTACGGTCAAAAGCTGTCCAAGTCCAGGCAAGTAGTGAAACTATTGGGGTTGAAACATCCTCCAAAAGGCCTCAAACTGGTTAAACCTTTACAATCATATCAGTGATCGAACCCATGATCTCCCTATCCATGACTCCCTATCCATGACTCATGGATAATAGCGAAATGACCAAAAATGGAACAATAAAGACCATGAGAGCCAACAACACCTCAACCCAGCCATTCATGCCACCTGCCGTGTGCTTTGATCTTCAGCTTGTTATGTCGTGTGGAAGCCGCCCAGGCACGGTGGGATCTCCGACGATCCAATTGAGGAAGCTGGGAGGCTTGATGATAGGGTTCTTGGCCCAATCATCTACACCAGGCGCTGCAGCCTGGAACGGAGACACAGCTGTCACCGTGTTGGGCGGGGTGCAAATGTGGCCCGCAAGTCACCAAATCGGTGGTTGGTCACAGATCCAAGTACAGTAAGAGATTCAATGCGTTCAATAACATCTCAAGGCTCTCAAGGGAGGATCAAACCACAACGGATATTGGAGCTCCAAAACAACCCACCCCTCAGCGCTCATACCATGTTGCTCTTTGGAAAAATCCAGTTGCCCCTTCCCCTTCAAAAAACAAACAACTCACTCAATTGCCCAATGTAAAGCTAACATATTCTTGTGGTCGACCTTCACCGGTGTTGACCGCGTGGTCTATACCTGCGCTGTTTCACGCCACGACCGGCGAACACCCGAAAAGGGCACGTTTCGAACCTGGGCGTCCTGAAGTGGGGACAATATGACCAAGCTTAGTATGACAAAGCCTTCTTTGATTTCAAACGTCTGAATATGTGGAGAGCTGCATGCAACTCAGTTCACCAAAAGCCGACAAACTGAGCACGGAGCACTTGTCGCCCTGAAACTGCAGCCGAAACTGAGGCCTTCTTCTCGGCCATGGGACGTCCCATTATTCGTCTAAACGCGCCGTGCCTTTGCTTGAACCCAACCCTCTTCAGTGCCGACGGTACCTCGAAGGCACTTCCCACTGAGCATGGGAGCTTTTGAGCACATGTAAAATCTGAAATCCTAGGTCCTCCATCAGTGAACACAGGTTTGCACCCCTGAACACCCATTTATTTCAGCAGGGACCATCATCAAAACATTCCGCAAGATCCTGCCAGTAATCTAGTATCACCTCTCACAATTATACTGGGCTGCTTGGCTCCTTGTAAGGATTGCTTAAGATATGGTCCACAAAAAAGAAGAAACTCATAGAAACTCCATATCTATCAAAGCCGTTGATCCGACCTATACAAACCACCAGGGAAGCACTTGAGTCCACGAGCAACCGGTCTAACCCAAACTCTTGCTGATCTGCTGAATTGAGATGCCACACGCAAATTTTATCAATGTTTGGGTATCTCAAAGGATCTCAAAGGTCATCTTGGTCCCAATCTTTGCTTTATAATTGCATCTTGCTAAAACATGCTAAAACGAAAACATGTGAGGCCTTTTTTTAGAGGAAGCCATTCACCAACTTCCTAGAAGACAGTGACATGTTCTGTCAGAGACCAGGGAGACGCCGGAGTGACATGTTCCAAACCTCTCGACAAACACCTCCCACCAAGGTACATTGTCGTCTGGGCTTCTTGTGGTTGTGCTCACCTCTGTAGTTGTCTTTGTCCTGACCGTCAAGATCCAAGGTCGATATGTACATTGAAGTGAACATGTAAGATCATGTATGCACCCCGCTTGTGCCACCTTGGTTTGTGCCAATGCATCCTTTGGACAACACCCTAGCGCTCCTTGAGCTGTTTGTCATACACAAACAGCGCTTCATGAGGTTTCATTGTTGGGGCTGGCAAGAGGAAGACTGGCAATGTGACAGGTCTTCCGTCTAAACTGCAACTGCTCAACCTGATGAGATGTTTCTCAGACAACAAACGCAACATCAGAATACATCAGATGCTTCTGGTAGCGATGTTGTCCGACACGTCGACTCGGTCCGACGTGCTCCGACGTGTCCTTCGCGGCGGTCGACCCTCCACAGCCCATGGCAGGTGCGCGGGCAGTTGGTTTGGAGTCCGTGAGGCCGCGCTGGAGCCGCAACGGTCAAGGGCAAAGGGCGAACAAGCGGTCTCAGAACGGGGTCAACGGCGTGAACTGATATATACATGGATGGACGGATGGACGGCGCTGGCTGGTTGATTGACAAAAAAAAGCTCCAGTGTACAGCGGCTTTTGTGCAGCAAAATCCTTTTGCAGTTATCCGGAATAGCTTGAAAAGTAAATCCCTTTCAATTGTATATAATTACAGTAATTAGGGGAATTTGTTCGGTATGTTTCGGTCCATTTCAAGTGCACTGTAGCTTGCGCGTGCTGATGGATCACGATCAGATTGTTAAGAAGGTATAGGGATGTATAGGGTAAGCCGGGTAAGCATGGGTAAATGCATCCCAAAGATTCCCAAAGTCTGGGGCGATACCAAACACCATAACAACCCAGGTCCGACAGTGAAATCGCAAGAAAAACCACACCACTGTTTCCCCTTTTGGGCGGCGCCAATGTGGCGGCGTGGCACCTCGGTCAAAGGGTTCCAATGGGTTGTCGTGAAACATCTGCGAGGACTTGAAGCACTAAAGCCCTCGTGTTTGTTGAAGTTCCTCGAGTGTTCTTCTTGTTTGGGTTTTAAAACCGGCCCGCCGGGTCGGTTTGTAGGTGTTCAGGTGTTTCTGCCGACGGGAGTCTGGAACAGTGCACCTACTGGAACACACATATACATTCAAAGGGTCTACATCGACGCTTGTCACTAGGTTGGAGGCCATCGTTACTAGATGCAAATTACCATGAAGGTGAACATTAAGTCAGTCTCGTCACCCGCACCTTCTTGGCACCAAACCCACCAAACACAACAGTTACGATCCACAGGAAAGCACATGCTGCTTCATCAGAAATCACAGCACCAGACCATGTGCACCCAAGCAGAACCCAGCGAGACCAAGCGGAACCCAGATGACTCGAGGATCGCTGGTGTGTTTCCACCACAGGCGTGTGTGTGTTACGCCAACTCTGTGTGTGTGTGTGTCCACCCCTGGACAAAGGGTTCTCAACCAACCTCGGCAGGGGGCCATCCCCCTCCCCAGTGGCGGATGGCCAACGAAGAGGCCACTGGGGGGGGGCTGCAAACGTACCTGCCGAACTGTTGTACAAGCTGTCACTCCACTCTTTCTTTGTTTGTTTCCATGGTGGTTCAGGCTACTTCCCCTAAACCCTTTCCCTCGCCGCCCGCGCGCGTCGTCGTCGCACCGCTGCAGATGAGAAACTTCAATGTTAAAACACCTTCAAGTCTTTGGACCTTTCACCATGCCGTTCTATCGCCTTCCTTCTCAACGTGGTAACAGAGTCACTGAAAACCAATGTCAGAGTGTGTTTCGCTCAGCCGTCCCACTCGGGTGCTGAGTGTGATCCCCGTCACAGGGGCGCCGTTCTTGCATCGGAATTCAACCACCCCAACGTACCACTTTTCACTGGACCTTCACCGGAAGTCACGGCCACCCCCATAGAATAAACTGATGCATTGGCCGCCGGGCCCAAAAACGGCATCACTTCGACAGCCGCCGGGCTATAAAACGGTGCTTACCCCCAATGAGGCAGGTTCCCCAAACCCCCCCCCCCCCCTCCTCTACTCCCTACCTATTTAGGGCAACATAGGGAAATGGTACTCGACACACTTGTGTGTCGGTGCCTTTCCCTGTGTTGTTCCTGTTCTAGTCTTTCCTACCCGGGCGGTCTAAGACAAAAGTCCCGCTCCCTAACTAGTGCACCTAATTCACTTCGTCTAAGTATTCAGTAATTCTAGAGTGCTAGGTAGTCAAACACACACACGTACACACACATGGACATACACCCCCTCCCTGCCCCCCGCTTTCCTTCTTGCGTTTTTGTCGTTTGTTGGGCTTTCTCTCAGGCTTTTTAGGTTGTTCTTGAGGCTCGTTTCCCTACCCCAGTCAAGGGCTAAGTATTCATTTTTCATTTTTTCTACGCCTATCTTTCTCTCTTGCCCTCTTAGCGCTGCTCTTTCTGTGTTTCTTTCCTTTTGTTTCTAAGGCTTTTTAGGTATCTATTCAGGCGTTCCACGCACGCGCCGCCAAGCGGCACCGTGTCTGTGCCACCGTTCTTTGAAAAAGCGCCGAAGCCGGCGATTTGTGTGTGTCCACCCCTGGACAAAGGGTCCTGTTCCAAAGGGTGCTTTCAGGACTCTCCACTTCCTTTTCACACG